ATCTATCTTTGTTGCCATATTCACGACGTTTCGGCCGTTGCACGCTTCACCCATTATCAGGATCTGTCTATATTTATGAGATGAGGTATTGTCATTATTTACCTTATTTACATTGTTCGGACTGTTGTTTTCATCTATCTTTGTTGCAATATTCACGACGTTTCGACCTTTCTATGCGTCAACCATCATCAGGACCTGTCTATATTTTTGAAATGAGGTTTTGTAATTATTTACATTGTTCGGATTGTTGTCCTCATTTATCTCTGTTGCCATATACAAGACGTTTCAACCGTTGTACACTCCAGCCATTATCAGGATTTGTCTATATTTCTGAGATGAGTGATTGCAGTTATTTACACCATTTACATTGTTCGCACTGTTTTCCTCATCTATCTTTGTTGCCATATTCACGAAGTTTCGTGCGTTGCACGCTCCAGCCTTCTTCAGGATCTATGTGTATTTTTGGGGTGAGATATTGTAATTATTTACATTATTTACATTGTTTGGACTCTTGTCCTCATCTATCTTTGTTGCCATATTCACAACGTTTCAACCGCCGTTTGCTCAAGCCTTTTTCAGGTGATTGGAATTTCGAACTTGAAAACCCGGGAGAACGAAATAAAGAGTTCAGTTCAAAATTCCAATGACCTGAAGAATGCCGGAGCATACAAATATACGTTGTAGCAACCAAACTATGAAACGAATGAGAGACAACCAAACGTGAGAAAAAATAAAAAGAAACTCAAAAACTTTATCAGCAAAAGAGAGTAGAAATATGTTGAAAAGTCTAATCTATTAGAAAATTTATCGATTATAAAGATTTCCAATGCAAAATGAGACGCCCTCAGCTACGGTTTAAAATTTGGCATCGAATCTGCAAAGTAGACATAGTATATGCTATAGTAAAAAATCATAAACAAAGCCAATCCGAGTTCACCAAAGGTATTTCAATTCAAGGCATTATCACTGTTACTATAGAAACCAACAACGAAAATACATTATCAATGAGATAGCTAAATGCACTAAAAAACCTAGCGAAAATAAAGAAATCCACATCACTCCCTCTGACAAGGGTGGAGTTAATGTCATCATGAACAAGTATATATTCATAGATTAAATAAAGTCACTACTCAACGATAACGACACATACGAAAAACTAAACGAATAAACAATACATGTTGAAACACCAACAATTAACAAGGAAATCAGAGGGGAATAATGGATATCAGCTTCAACTGAGGAATCGGGGAGCTGAGTTCGAATTCCAGTCGAACCCATTACAATCACTTACTTCCCATGAAAAAGGTATGAATGCTCCTTCCCCCCAGCTATGGATAAATAACAGGACAAACCGGGTTCTATAACCTTGGTTGACAATTAGTCTACCGCAGAAAGAAATGGCAACCTAATACGGGAAAAAATATGCCTCGTCAGTCATGTATCGAAAAATACATGATCGTGTATCTCGCCTGGCACATAACTGACTGATCATTGGTAAATTTATGAATCATCCTCTTCTTCCCCCCAGATATGGGTAAATAGCAGGAGAGGCCGATTTCTCTAGCTTTGGATGACAACAGGTCTACTGCAGAAAGTAATGGTAACCTACTGTGGGTAAAAAAATCTGCCTCGTCAGTCATGTATCGAAAGATACATGATCGCCTGTGTATAACGCATGGCACATAACTGACGCACTGATTTTTGGTAAAGTTGTGACTCCTCTTCTACCCCAGCTATGGGAAAATAGCAGGAGAGGCTGGTTTCTATACCTTCGGATGACAGCTGCTCTACCGCAGAAAGAAATGGCAACCAACTGCGGGAAAAAACATTTGCCTCGTCAGTCATGCATCGAAAGATACATGATTGCGTAAGTGTGTATCACGCATAACACATAATTGACTGACTGACTGTCCAGTCAAATCCATTACATTCACTTACGTGCTCATACTCTTGGGGAAGTTATGAATGGTCCTCTTCTTCCCGCCTCCAACTCTGGGTGAATAATAGAATAGACCGCGCACTATAGTCTTGGTTGTCAATTGGTCTACCGCAGAAAGAAATGACACCCACCTGCGGCAAAAAAATATGCCTCGTCAGTCATGTATCGAAAGATATATGAACGCCTAAGCGTGTAGCACGTATGGCACATATCTGACTGAATTAAATTTTGACATAAAAGATGTTACTGTGATAACAGGAGAAAATCATTCACCGACAAAAACAACCCGACCTAATAAATTTATAGTCTTATCATAACGACAAAATAAAACCCGGCATAATCATCGGATTTTACCTAAGAACAGTAAGAATATACAGCTCGGATTATTTACACAAATAAGAGAAATACATTGAAAATACTTTGAAATTTCTCCAGTACCCTATTTTATTTTCAATTCGAATCCAAAGACCCACAAATTATTCCAAAACCAAAAAAAAAAAAAATAATAATAATAAAAACGGCCCATCCTGAGAAAAACAATCAACCAAAAAAATATATTATCCTACCTACTAATTCTATCACATCTAATATCGAAAAGAATCTATCTAAACTCAACATAAATATCGTTACTACGGCATCCAAAACCAAAAAAATAAAATGTCAATACTAAACAAAAGTTGAACTTGACATACACTTTTTTATTATGACTGACCACTCATAAGCCTGTCTCTTAAGGCGGCTAGCCAATCTCTATTGCAGACGCCTGCTCAGTCAAATTGATCTTTTTTTTCAACAACCAAAACAACTCGCCTGTGTTGTAATAGGCTGAGCGGACTTTTTTTTACACTTTCTGAGAGAGGACTCATCATCTGGCGTGATCGAAAGTTTCTGACTTCCTGCTAATACAATCATCGACGGACAATTCCGTCTACCCAGTAAAACCGTGCAATGGTTTGAAGGTGTCACAGGTTCGAAACGCCTTCCAAATTCTGATAAAGTTAAAGAGTCCTCTTCCTGGCAATTCGACCGTGTTTAGCCCCCATGCCCGGGTTTCATGGTCGGAAAACGAACATTCTAAACACTCGACCACACGCACATTCACCTTTTTACACACACACACACACAGAGCGAGAGAGAGAGAGAGAGAGAGGCAAAGACACACAAACACACACACATACTTAGATATATTCTTTAATGTTTATTGCGAACATTTCGTGGTTGCGTGTGAATATATATATATATATATATATATATATATATATATATATATGAATTAAATCGACTCCCCATGAAAAATTATAACCTGTAGAACAACATTTCCGCCTGGAAAAACATGATTTCAAAACCCATGCCAAATTCACTATAACTGAGAGAATAGAAAAGTTCAGAGCAGATAACATTAGAAAGATTTTAGAGTCCCATGAAAATAAGTGGATACAACGTCTAAAAACAAAATACCCAGCCGGGCTAAATCATAAATTTAACAATATATATTAGGTTGGTGCAGAAATAATGTCGTTTTTTGACGTTCAACTTAACGTCAAAAAACGACATTATTTTTGCACCAACGTAATAGATAGTAACAATATATAACTCAATAAATCAAAACCTACCCACATTTCTCACCCACACAAGACAGATATGCTTACGGAGGTGTGGAGGCTTCACACTTATACACCCACCCACACGAATATATACACTTACACACATCATACTCACTCACTCCCTAATGAGCCAAATGATAACACAAACCTAGAGCAATACACACGCTTACACATATCATACTCACTCACTCCCTAAGAACCAAATAACACACACACAAACACTAAACAGAGACACATCCCCTCACCAGGTCCAATAAAACTGTCAAACTGACCAGAGAATTCAGAATAACATGTATCTATCCAGCTCTTATCTCAAATAACAACTTAAAAGAGACTGTTTGACCAACACAAGGAATGTTAAAAGATTCATGTTAAAACGATAAAAAAATTAAAAAAAAACAAATGAAAACTACAGACAAAAGTTCATTTTCTCCAGCAAAAGACATTCATTTCTGTAGTTTAGTGCTACCAGCAAGCAGAAAATATTTCTCCTCCCGATTATGGCCATTTCGGTCGAAACTAGTCGAGGAATCAAAATGGAATAATAATAAAAAAAACGAAAGAATATTAATCTACAACTCAGTGTGTCTAAAGATATGTTAATATAAAGTCAACGACGGGTGTTTAATATGTCCTGATGATGGTCTAAAATAGACCAAAACGTTCGACGTTGACTTTATATTAACATTAATACGGCATAATTGCATATTAAGATTTTTGTTTGTTTTTCTGTATATTTTTCTTCATATATATATATATATATATATATATATATATATATATGTATATATATATATATATATAAAAGTAGATAAGTTGGTCAATAAAACAAAGTCAAACGAAAGGGTACCGATGAAATCAGTACGAAAAACATTTATTAATATTAACCAGTTGTCAAAATGAAGCACGAATTGAGGTTCGAAATTTGGAATTTTCGAACACACCTGTTTTCTTCATATATATATATATATATATATATATATATATATATATATATATATATATAGTTATAATACATCACAATAAATGACAGCGTTAATAAAGCAGTGCTCGATGTAGTACACCAGAACCATTAAGCATATATTGATAAACATACACATAATCTCTCACCGATAGCCCGAACTAGAGTTTCATGCAAAGGCCAATCGTCAGGTGCTGAATATAGACTATTCGTGCATGAAAATCCGAACGACCCATCGAAGAGGGATAATATATATATATATATATATATATATATATATATATATATATATATATATATATATATATATGTGTGTGTGTGTGTGTGTGTGTGTGTGTGTGTGAAAGACATGGCATGATAAAGAACAAATTGAAAAGGTTTATCAATTCAACACGTCCACTTTTACTAATGCGTCATCAGAATTTGAGTTATAAAGAAAAAAGAAGAAATACATTCTTGTATTTTTATGATGAAATCTTTAATAAAAGAAAAAAGATTGATAAAATTTTCTTATTTGTTCTATATCTTATCATATATATATATATATATATATATAAAAAAAGTTTCAAATTAAAAATTAAAATTTATTTTATGAAAGTATTTATTTATTTATATATATATTTGATATTTCAAATTGTCCTCAATTTTTCATCAGAAATAACTGTTTGTTACAAATAAATTAAAATTACTGTTTGTTAGCAAGTAGCGTCCTTCGCGAGACGCGGACTTCACGTGATATGGAACGTCACTGTTCGGATATTCCAAACTTAAATCTGTCATAAATATTTAAAAAAAATTTTTTTTTACTATATTTAAAAAAAAATTGCATAACTATTGAAATATTTATAAAGATTTAAAACATAGATAGATAGATAGATAGATAGATAGATAGATAGATAGATAACTGAATGTAACTGAGATATTGATACAAATTATTAACACCTTACGCCCCTTTTTCTTCAAACAATTGCTCTAGCCGTTACCATAGAAAGTTTGATTTCAATAATGAATATGCTTATAAAACGCGTAAATTTCAGAAATAAGTTATTCCAAAAAAATTTTGCTTGAAGATGGAACAGAGCTTAGTTTAATTCAATTTAATTCAAATAATTATATTGAAGTTTTCGGCTCTTGTTTTGAAACATGAGACCTCTTATGTAGCGTGTTGGAATCATATTTTTAAATAAATAATTATATTTATGATCTACTTTTGTATCGAGCACTATTTTTAAAAAATAATAACAAAAATACTAAAGAACTGTGTATTATTTACCTAACGAGTTCTTTCCTATTTTCTATATATTTTTTACACACACACACACACACACACACACACACACACACACACATATATATATATATATATATATATATATATATATATATATTTCTGTGTGTGTGTTCTTACAGCCGACGCGTTTCCTTCTTTTTTTCTGTTTTTATGTATATATGTGTGTGTGTATATATGTGTGTAAAGATTCAGATAGAATATATCTGTAAACGTACAATATAAATAAAGACAAAAGGAAAGTTTATCTTAGCTCATGCGTTTCCACATTTTCGTTACTCATATATATATATATATATATATATATATATATATATATATATATATATATATATATATATATATATATATATATAAATCTCAATATTCGTCCTTTGACAGGATTCGAAATACTTGTATCTATAAAAAAGAATGTTAAACATAAAAATGTCTTTAATAAATTGTCGAGAAGTTAGGCACGTCAGCGTAAATGACGGTTCCGTATAGGATGCAGTTTCGAATACTATCAAAGGACGAATATTTTCTATGAAAATTTCTCGGACATTCAGGCCGGTAAATGTTATTTAATACTGTTTATTATAAACAGAGCATTTACTTAAATACTTGTATCTATAAAAAGAATGTTAAACATAAAAATGTCTTTAATAAATTGTCGGACTTTGTACAATTCTTAATGTATGACGTCATTTGTTTACATTTGATACGCCATGAGCAGTTATAAATGTACGAGATTCATGGAAGATTGAAGTTTATAAGCAATAAATTCGACCTCGCCTATCAAACGCTCCTTTGTGGCCGAGTCGTCAGCGTAAATGTCGGTTCCGTATAGGATGCAGGTTCGAATCCTGTCAAAAGACGAATATGAAAATTTCTCGGACATTCAGGCCGGTAAATGTTATTTAATACTGTTTATTATAAACAAAGCATTTACTTAAATACTTGTATCTATAAAAAGAATGTTAAACATAAAAATGTCTTTAATATATATATATATGCATTAAGCATATATATATATATATATATATATAAAAAATATATATATAATAAAGTATATCCATAGAACAGTAAAAAGACAGAAAGTTAATGTTTCATAGGATCACGTAAGTCTGGAATTACCATAACGTATAAATGAATATGTATGTCTGAACCTTAAAAATTATATATATATATATATATATATATATATATATATATATATATATATATATATGTGTGTACATTTTTTTAGTTCAGACATACACACACACATATATATATATGTGTGTGTGTGTGCCTTCATTTTAAGGTTCAGACATACACACACACACAAACACACACACACAGACACACACACATATATATATATATATATATATATATATAATGGGAGTAATTTATGCTTAGTTCAGAAAATTGAGGAATAGGAAAAGTCGACATCCTTTCATGGAAGAGAAACAAAATGTTTCTACCATATATAATGCCAATGTGAAGAGAATGTCAGTTATTTCAGCCATGTAAGCCAGTTGCTTGGAGCAACTGGCGTGTGTCATTTCTAGAGAAGCCCCGATAGAGAGAGATGAAACCTACCAATGACGGAATACACCAAAGACTACACGAACATCTGTCGTGGTTATAACCTCAAGAAAGTAAAAGAAAACGATGTCGTGTTGAGAGAAGAGCAAACACGAAGGAAGAAGAGAGAGACAACGAGTCAGTAACGTTGAAGCTGAAGATTACTTAAGGAAAAGTAAAGATGACGGAGAAGGAAATAGAAAACAAATAAAGAAAAAGAAAAAAGAGACACAAAAGAAAGAATAGGGTAACGCAAATAGAAAAATGGAGAAGCAGAAAGAAAGAAATAATGAAAAAAAAAAGAAGAGAACGTTATTCAGCAAAAAGAGGAGGAAATAATAAAAAGACGTATAAGGATAAAAGAAGGCAGGGAGAAAAGAATGCGGTAATGATAAAAGGCGGGGAAAAAAGAAGGTGGGAAGAAAAGAAGTCGGGAAGAAAAAAAGGCGGGAAGAAAAGAAAGCGGGAAGAAATAAAGGCGGGAAGAAAAAAAGGCGGGAGGAATTAGTTAAAGCGCTAAATGAAATGATAAAAATGAGGAGAAAATAGAGTAAATCAGATTAGGATAGAACGAAACAATAGGCTAAGTTTAATTAAGAGAACCAAAGAGGAAGACATAGAAGTGTGGATCGCAAATAAAAGAAAGGAACAAAAAGAAAAAGAATTGTGAGAACTGAATGATACAGACGATAAAGTATAAAGAAAGAGAAAGAGACAGAGAAATGAAAATGGCGTAAGGAGAGAGAAGAGTATAATGGAAAAAAGAAGGGCGGAAAAAATTTAAAAATTGAAATCTTTTGAAGATAATTCTGATATACTAAGTTGACAAGAATGCCAGGAAAAGAAGAAAGATAATGTCCGTCTGTCGAAATTTTGATGCGGTGAGAAGAAGTAAGAAGATGAGGAAACATTTAGACGAAAGAAGAAAAAGAGAGGATAAAATTGTAAAGAAATCAAATAAAAGTAGAAAAAATGGACGAAGAGAAAAATGAAGGAAGAAAGAAAGCAAAGTGTAGAAAGAAAAAGTGAGAATTACTAATAAGAATGGGAGAGTGAAGTAACAAAACACAAGAAGAAGAAGAAGAAGAAAAAGAAGATGATGTTGATGATGATGATGAAATAGTGATGATGAAGAAGATGATGATGATGATGATGATGATGATGATGAAAGAAATAAAAGAAGAGGAAAAGTGAAGGCGAGAAGTAAGAAAAGGGGAGAAAGACAATGTGAGAAATACTAAGTAACAAAACCCAAGAAGAAGAAGAAGAAGAAGAAGAAGAAGAAGAAGAAGAAGAAGAAGAAGAAGAAGAAGAAGTAGTAAAGTAAATGTGAAGGAGAGGAAATAAGAAAAGGGTGGGGGTGGGGAATAAAACACTGGTGGCAATGGGAGAGTAAAGTAACAAAACACAAAACGAAAAAAAGGAAGAAGAAAAATAAATGAAGAGAAAAACTGAAGGAGAGAAATAAGAAAAGAGGAGAAAGAAAAAGTGGAGAAATATTAATAAGAACGGGAGAGTGAAGTAAGAAATCACAAGATGAAGAAGTGTATGAATAATGAGAAGAAGAAGGAGATGATGCATCATCATCATCATCATCATCATCATGATGATGATGATGATGCTGCTGCTGCTGCTGATGATGATGATGATGATGATGATGATGATGATGATGAAAAGTAAATGTGAAAGAGAGAAAATAAGAAAAGAGGGAAGAAATAAAATACTGATAGCAGTGGGAGAGTGAAATATCAAAATACAAGAAGAAGGTTCGAAGAAGATTCGAAGAAGAAGAAGGTTCGAAGAAGATTGGAAGAAGAAGAAGGTTCGAAGAAGAAGAAGAAGATTCGAAGAAGAAGAAGGTTCGAAAAAGATTCGAAGAAGAAAAAGAAGATTCGAAGAAGAAGAAGAAGAAGAAGATTCGAAGAAGAAGAAGAAGATTCGAAGATTCGAAGAAGAAGAAGAAGATTCGAAGAAGAAAAAGAAGATTCGAAGAAGAAGAAGATTCGAAGAAGAAAAAGAAGATTCGAAGAAGAAGAAGAAGAAGATTCGAAGAAGAAGAAGAAGATTCGAAGAAGAAGAAGAAAAAGAAGATTCGAAGAAGAAAAAGAAGATTCGAAGAAGAAGATTCGAAGAAGAAAAAGAAGATTCGAAGAAGAAGAAGAAGATTCGAAGAAGAAGAAGAAGATTCGAAGAAGAAGAAGATTCGAAGAAGAAAAAGAAGATTCGAAGAAGAAGAAGAAGATTCGAAGAAGACGAGGGAAATAGTAGTAGAGGGAGTAAGAAACAGTGAAAAATAATAGCAAGAAGGCAAAGATGAAGAAGAAAAGAAAGACGAAAATGGTTGGAGAATAAAAGAGTTATTACAGAAAAGAACTGAATAGTGTTATGAAATTTTTGGAAAGTATTCTTTAAAAATGAAACAGAAGAGAAGAAAAAAGTAGATGAAGGAGTGAAAATAGAAATGGTATGCATATGAAAAGAAGAAAGGAAAGGCAAAGACAAAGAGAAAATAATGAAAATAATTCATTAATATGGAGATGAAAAAGTCGAAAGCGAATACAAGAAAGAGAAAGAAATCGACGGAGAGAGAAAGAAGGCAGCTCAAGAAGAAGAAAGTTTAGTGAAAAGGAAATGGAAAGACGGAGAAACGTTATCATTCAGAAAAAGAAAGATCACGTGTTTGTAAGAAGATAAAATTAAAAGCCTGAACATCGAAACAAAGAATTTTATAATTCAAAGAAGGGCGCAAAAAAAAAAAAAAAAAAAAATTCTGTAAAATGACGGAAGTAAAAAAAAAAAAAAAAAACACATGAGGACACAAAAATGTATTCTAAGATTGAACGAAAGAAGCAGTTTCGAAGAGCCGGAGGTGGCAGGGTTGGGAGCTCGAAGCGGAAAATCAGCGAGCGGAGTTCGAATTCCGTTCGAGATCGTTATATTCACTTTCGCGCAAATACCCTTGGGAAAGCAATGCAACCATCTTGTAAAATCCAGCAATGGCTTAAATAACGGAGACAAGACTTGACTCTCTAGCCCTGTTTGGCAACTAGTATAATAGAAGAACAATGACTTTAAAATGTCCGTATTGTTGCTGTATCGACAACAGTTTAGCTCTGTCCGTACTGAAGAAAGACCACTGGACCTAAACAGACGGACATGCTCGAAAATGTAGAGCCGTGCCTAAGGCGAGAAATCAAGCTGATTTGCAGGTGCAGGTCTGATGATTATGTGCAATGAAAGAAATATATTCTATATTCTATCTGAAAGGAGAAAGCGGAAAACGAAGAGAAATTGCTTGTTTGTTTGCTTAGCGACATATTAACACTTTATGGGTCATTTATTACTAAAATTAAGTTTTCTTGGGAGTATTATTAATTTCTTTTACAAAAGATGTATTGCTGGCATTTTTTTTTCAAAAATATACAGCTGGTAATTTTTTGATTATGCAAATGTATTGCGAGTATTTTTACTACAAAAAATGTATTCCCACTTGTCAGCTGGGGCTTCTGAATACGATGAATGCACCTCTAGATAGGGGTAAGATCTCCACCACCAATAAATGAGGCGTCCTGGGTAAGACGATGAACTATATCTGGCAGCAAGGCCTCTGATCAGGTTGTGGAGCGTGGAATCAATTCTTAATTACTAGTGTCCACAGGTCCACCGTGACCCGGGGTGGTAGCCCACATTAGGGTCTCAATTATGGGCAAATAGTTAACCCCCAAAATGGGGTCAAAACACTATGAAAGTGTAAAAATATGTCTTAATACTAGCAATACATTTTTAAAAGAAAATAATATTACCAGCAATACATTTTTGAAAAAAAAAATATTACCACCAATAAAAACCTTGTCAGCATTTAATGACCCATTTAGGTTGATATGCCATAAAACAAAACAAACCAAATCAAACCAACAATGTATTTTTATACTTTCATACTGACGCCAAAACATTTTCTCACGGATGTAATGTGACTTCCCTCTGTCTTTTCTACAATTATTTTTATGGCAACTGCTCTTAGGAGCTTTTTTCGCTAATTCCCCGACTACCTGAATTTAAGCGTGGTTCTAGATTGTCATCTAGGTCTCACCTGTTTACTGTTGAAATATTTATATGTAACCGCCACTTCTGCTCCAGCAGTTTCTTTTCTCGCACTTCTCGCTTGTGGATATCACATCCGTTTATTCTATACTCTGAAAACTACAATCTCCAAAGATTTAAATGCAATCGCTAATCTCCAATTTTCTCTTTTGGTGAATCTCGATCATATTTTATCCTTTCGTCACCCCCCTATACTCAGTCTTTTCTCTCAATTTCACTTCCTTTAACTCCCTGTGTGCTAAGGCCATTTCCGCCTTGCTTGGTTTGAAATAATTTATTTTAAAAAAAGTCTAGCCAACTCAACTGTAAATTGATGAGACCTCGTTCCTAGTATAGCGCTTAAATTACTAAAGTCTAGGTACAATATTGAAGAGTTCATCCGAACAAATACCATGAAAGGATTTTAGTATAAAAACGTAAGGACAGCGTCAATGAAACAGAAATGATTCGACAAACATTCCAAAAGAATTTTTCAAAGATTTAACAATGAGAAAATGAAGGAAAAACTTTAAGAAACAAAGAAATTAGTCAGGAAAATGATTTTAAAAAAATGCGAGAATATAGATTGACCTAAATAAGATAAAAAACAAATACTGAAATTGAACATTGAAAAACTTGTTAAAGAAATCATTAAGAAAAAACAGCCGGTCGAAAAAGGCACGTAGAAGTACTAGTAACATGGTACGAATATAAGACAGCTCTGGTCTTTCGGTAAGTAAAAATTTCTGGTTTTGTGTCGCAGACTGACCAAGCCACCTGGACCAGATGAGCAGGAGATATTGTATTCAACCAACAAACCATGGCACTTCAAAGACTCACCGTGGAATCACTATAAGATCACAGGAGAAATATAGAAACATGAAAAGAAACAAAACAACAAAGAAAATAACACCTATAGTTCCGATATATCGATAAAGTTACCGACATACATCCTTGAGAGTAGTCATCTAAGATTAAAAAGGTTCTATTTTTTTTTTTTTTGGTCCGCGGTATAGTCTTTACGAAACTGCCTCTCTATATAACGATTCAGATTTTTGTACAAAAATTTTCATTTAATTATAATATTATATAAAGATAGTTTTATTATTAGTCTAAGTTTGATGTCCATTATTAAAAAATAAACTACAAAAATATAGACCTTTTTTTTATAATGCCCTGTGAAGTTTTCAAATCTTTTCCGCATTCCTGTGGATAATTCCTCACCTAACAGTCTATTTCTCGCATACACACCTTAGCAAGCCTATCGCCTCTCTATCACTTTTTAAATGACAAATGTGCTGATTAGGTCCATTCGATAGAACCAGCAGTCCAGACCTTTACAGTCAATTCCCATCTTGCTACGTCCGCGATGTTGAATCACCGTCATCCCCTCCGTAATCCTTTGGCTGAGAGCTGATTTCCCGCAACCGCTACTTTGTGTAACAGACTCTTACGTGGAATTTCCCGAAAGCTACAATCTTTCTAGCTTCAAATCTAAGGTCTGTCTTTATCTATCCACCATATCCTCTTTCTACTCCCTTATCTGACGTACATATCACACCCCGCTTTCATTAATCCTCTACCTTGAGTGGCTCTCAAGGTTTTTATTGGATTAACTTTAGTTAGAAAAAGACGAGTAGTGGTTGACTATTTACATTATTCGGAAAATTGTCCTTATCCTTATCGTGCTATTTATTACAACGTTTCGGCCGTTGTACGCTCCGGCCTTAATTCACTCACTGTTCTAGTTCCACGTGCCATGTTTAATGGGTATCAGCTATCAGTTATCTCTTTTATTTCCCCTCTCCAATTCTCCACTGCCTCAAGGACACATGACAGGGTGAAAAAACGCGGTGACAGGACCCAAAGAGTGTGAGTTCAATACCCGGTTAGGGCAGTGGAGAAGTTGCAGAGAGGAATTAACAGGAGATAACTGACATACATTAAACAAGGCACGTGGAAGTAGAACAGTCTACCCCAGTGAGCGAAATAAAGGGTTCAGTTCGACATTCCAACCAGCTGAAGAAGGCCGGAGCGTACAACGGCCGAAATGTTGTAATAAATATGGCGACAAAGATGAGGACAATAGTCCGAATAATGTAAATAGTGTACATAATATCTCATCGCAGAAATATAGACAGATACTGAAGGGCCGAAACTTTGTAATAAATATGGTGACAAAGATGAGGACAACAGTCCGAATAATGCAAATAGTGTACATAATACCTCATCTCCGAAATATAGACAGATACTGAAGGGCCGAAACTTTGTAATAAATATGGTGACAACGATGAGCACAATAGTCCGAATAATGCAAATAGTGTACATAATATCTCATCCCAGAAATATAGACAGATACGGAAGGTCGGAAGCGATGTAATAAATATGGCGACAAAGCTCAGGACAATAGACCGAATAATGTAAATAGTGTGCATAATACCTCATCTCAGAAATATAGAGAGATACTCAGTAGTGGTTGATTTGTTAGACCATTAACATTTCTAGCATGCGAACTCAGGTTCGAATCACACCATGTTAATCTTCCCAGCGAAGCGGTACAGCCACTAGAACTCAGGAGATTACGGGGAGTGAAAGTAAAAAGTAAGATTGAAAATGGAGAAGACTGAGTAAAGAACAAAAAATGATCAGAGTTCATGAAGATGGGCGATTGGCATTCAAAATTTCAAGATTTTAGTTTTCAGAGAAGTATGAAATCGGAAGGTCGTTCCAAAAGGTGGAAAGTCCGAGAAAAAATGTTAAAGTAAAAGTCGCCGTTGCATTTAACTATTTCAATAATAAATCGCTGAGACCTAATTGCCAATCTATTAGCACCCTTAAATTGATGTAGTTAGGTCACCAGATAAAACCGTTCAACAGAGTAATTGCCATGAAAATATTTGTAAAAACATACAAAGGGATTTCACGTCAGGTCATTGAGAAAGTGACTGGAGACGAGATGTCTGGCCAAGATGGATTTTATTTCAGACCATTTTCAAGGCTTTGTCAAGAACCTCGACCAGATATGACAACACTATTCAATACACCGATGAATGGTAGATTTATAAATGTGCAAGATGGATTCTGACGAGGAAAATCTTTTGTCACGACAAAGTGAACCAACAGTCGTTGCAGCAGACGTGGCAGATGACTCGATATAAACGACCACTTCGTTTCAGTGGCAAACGTGAGACTAAGATAGCGTAGAGTATTGCCCTCCCGGAGTTCAACATAAACCATCCTGATTGTAGGCAGACAAGTTTCTCTGTATTGATTAAATGAGAACAGTCTCGTTACGGAGGCGTTGTAGTTTGCATCTTTCATATTCTATGTTACAAGGTTTTCTTTTTATAGTTTTTGATTTTATGTTACAAGGTTTTCTTTTTATATATATTTATATTTTTATATATATATATATATATATATATATATATATATATATATATATATATATATAAGAAATGGACAAAGTCCGACAATTTATTTATTAAAAGACATTTTTATGTTTAACATTCTTTTTATAGATACAAGTATTTAAGTAAATGCTCTGTTTATAATAAACAGTATTAAATAACATTTA